GGCGGGGGCCCCAGGGCGCCTGCCGCTGCCCTGGGGAGCAGGGTCCCGGGGGTGGGGGCCGCGTTAACCCCCGCAGCGCTGGCCAGCAGCACCCTTCCCCCTGCGGCCGCGAGGCCCTGCACGGCCAGGGGCCCTGCTGCCCTGCTGCCACCAGCTCCACGTGCCCTCCCCCACGCGCCGGGCAGAGGTGGGGCTGCACATGCACCTTCCCCCAACCCGGGGCGCAATTAAACTGTCTGCCCGGGGCACCAGAATGGCTCAGTCCAGCCCTGGCAGCACCCCCAGGAGCCACTGGCCGCAGAGTCCCTCACGGCGGCTGCAGGCGAGCCCTGGCCTGGTGGCTCCTCTCTCTCCTCTTGCAGGGGAGGGGAGCCCGCGGCGCCCCGCTTCACACCGCCCCGGGCGGCCCCCCCGGGAGCCACTGGCCGCAGAGTCCCTCGCGGCGGCTGCAGGCGAGCCCTGGCCTGGTGGCTCCTCTCTCTCCTCTTGCAGGGGAGGGGAGCCCGCGGCGCCCCGCTTCACACCGGGGAAAGGTGTGTACAGCTGCAGAGAAAGGGGACCCGTGACACTTTCACCTTTCCCCCAGGGCACTCTGATGTTTCTATGCGTGCTGTGAGGAAGGGACGTGAGGATTTGGAGGGTTGGGTTTGTCTGGGAGGGGAGAGAAGGTGGAAACTGGGTTCTGAGAGTGCGTGGGGAGGCATGGGTCAGGATGTCTATGGAGGGGAGACAGGACGTAGACTGGGTTTGGCCGGAGGGCATGGTGGGAGTCAAAGAGCCGCAAGGTGAAAGGGGCGCTTTCCTTCTCAGTGCCTATCCTGCTGCAGTGGGCAAAGGGGGGAGGAGAGGCATCCAAAAAATGTTTTGCTTGGGGTGCAAAAAACTTAGAGCTGGCCCTGCAGGTGAGAGCTTGAATTTAATTGTTTTCTAACTTCTCTTGCTAATGGGAAGGGGACTTGACAATTAGGGAGGGATCTGAAAATGTTACCTGCTAACCCCTATAGTGTCCTGCTTTATAGCTCAGCCTTTCCCACCCATTTTCCTATCTCCCATGGAGATGTTGCCCCTCCCTACACTTCAGGGCAAGGGAGGACAGGCATTGGAAGGCCAGCCCTCTGCCTTTCCCTAAGGCCAGGTCCACACTAGGGGATAAGTTTGAATAAAGATACGTTGACTCCAGTGATGTAATTAACATAGCTGGAGTTGTGTATCTTAAATCGCATTTTGGTGCCGCCCACAAAGTGGGAGGTTGACAGAAGCCCTTCCCTTAGTCCTCATAGGAGCAGGACTACCGGCACCAGCGGCAGGGCCCTCGGTTCAGATGAGCTGTTTTCACAGATTCATTCATTGAAACCCTGGAAGATTGACTGCAGCAGCTTCTACCTTCTCTGTAGTGTGGAAAGCCCTAAGTCAGTTTATCCTTGGTACTTTTTCCTTGTTCCTCTCTCTACTTGTTTCCAAGCAATCAATTGACATTAGGGTCTTCAGAGGGATGGAGCTCTCATAGCTGCTGTCAGCTTCCTTGGGAGCTGGAGAAACTTAGCATCCCTCAACAGAACAGAGAAGCCCTGAACATTCTCCCCTGTACAAAGAACCTGTGTTGCAAAGGGGCTGCTTGGGTCTCTCCAGCAGCCTCAAATCAAATCTCTGCAATGAGGGTGCACCCTGGCCTGTGGTACTAGTGTGCAGAGACTGGTACTTGAAGGGGGCAAAGACCCTCTTGTTAAGGGGGGAGAGCCGGGCAAGGGACTGCAGAAGCAAAGAAGGGAGGGGTTGGTAGAATGCTGTCTGGAGTGGGAGGGAGTTGTACACACATCGCTCCTGCACACACCAGCACAGTTTGAAGCAAAGGATGATAGAGCTGATGCCAGAAGGGGCTCAGGAAGGAGATTATTATTTGCAAACATTATGCTGATTTTTTGGCGCCTTTCCTGGTCATGCTGAATTCTTCCCCTTAGGTGAATGGATCGCTGGTCAATCTGCCCCTTGTCCTAGCATCAGGTAAACTCTATGCCTATTACACCGGTTCATCTGTTGTGGTCCAGACAGAATTTGGCCTCTCTGTATCCTATGACTGGTCCCACTACGTGACTATCACTATACCTGAGACTTACTCTGGGCTGCTCTGTGGGCTTGGTGGAGACTTCAATGGAAACCAAAGTGATGATTTCAGGATGCCCAATGGATCTGTGGCTCCCAACCTTGTCTCTTTTGTGACTAGCTGGAAGGATGTCAATTCCCCTTTCCATTGCACAGCTGTTGGTCCGCAAGCAGAATGCAACAAAGGAACTATACACAAGTACAGAGATCAGAGCTACTGTGGGATCCTCACAGACATGGAAGGACCTTTCAAACATTGTAGCAACCTTACTAGTGCTCCGATGTCCCTGGAGAGCTGTGTACATGATCTCTGTGTCACCAAAGGGAGCCACAAAACGCTGTGCAATACACTTCGGAGTTATGCTGTGCATTGCCAAAGTCACAGCATCACCATACTGCCATGGAGACAGCTGGCTGGGTGTGGTAAGCACTGATTTCAGGGGCCTTCATGAATGGTAGCCCATAAATCACTCAACCATTGGGCTTGGGAACATTGAGTAGTCTCATTGATTTGTACCTTTCTGCACAGTGAGTGTATTGACACTCCAGAGGTAGAGCAGAGTTTGGTTTCCTCCTTCCCAGTTATGGTGTCCCAAGTACCCCAGAAAGTAATGACATAGGTATTCACTGTGCATTGACTATATAGCGCAATGCAGCGGATATTGTTCTCCCAGGAGCGGTATATACTGAGCTAGGGATGTTAAAATGTGTTTATTTTGGTAATAGCTGAAACTTCCAGAAATTCCACATTTCCATGAGGAAGAAGGTGGCTCCCATGAAGCCTCCTGCTGCTCCACTTGTGCAGCTGCCTCTGAAACGGAGCCAGCAAAGCGGGGGGAAGAGGGAGGCAAGAGGCTCCCTGTGAGCACTGGCTCCTGCCTCTTCCCCCTGCTTTACTGCCTCTGTATCAGAGGCAGCAGCACTTGAGGAAGGGGCTGGCAGCAGGTGGCTCCCTGGGAGAACATGCTTAAAAGAGCACCAGCTCCTACTGACCCCACCTCCCTAAGCTGCTGCCCCTAATATAGAGGCAGCAGAATGGCGGGGGGAGCCTGCATGTAACCATGAAAGTTAACAGATGGCTGTTAACTGTTTACATGATCACATCTCTATACTGAGCTTCAGACATTAGAACTTTTGCTGAATGACAATTTTAGTGAGGACAATGCTTTCATTCCCTGCTCTTGGAGAAATGCCAAGGGATTTTTAAGTGTCTACTGTACAGCTGCAAGATTTAGTAAGAAAGTGCTGTATCTTCAACAACTTGAATAGTATAGCATACTCTACAAATGTTGCACTGCAGGATTCTCAGGATTTTTCTTCCCGTGTGATAGTGTAGGATGGGGTGGGGAACATTTGACCCTCAGAAAAATCAGGCATGTGTTGTATGCAAGTGAGAAGCAAAAAATATGTATATTTAAACCAACAAAAAATCCTCACAGACATGGCCATCAAGGGAGGAGGAGAAAGGCACAAAGACTCTCTCCATATTCCCCTCATGCATCAGAGCTTAGGGCAGCCTAGTAGATCTTGTGTGCTCCAGACCCGTGGTAGAGTGGCGGGGGGCAGGAGTACAAGTGCGGGCTTCCCAATGCTGGAAGGGGTCCTGAGCCTTGAGGGCTGGATCCAGCTAAGCTGGGTCCTAGGTTCTCCACCCCTGGTGTAGGACTTCTTGTGAAAGTTATAGTCCAGCCATCATGCTAGCAACAGAGGTGTAATAACACACCTGTATCACTTAGTACATCCATTATTTATAGAAAACATGATTTTGTAACTGAATACAAAACCTGAATATCGATCAAGAAAAAGACATTAAAAAGGAATATTCATTCCTTCCTGATTTGTTTTAATTCTCTATGTTTCCTGCCTGGGAGGATTCCTGTAGTATCCCTTCTGTATTTCTAACCACGGTTCTTCATGTCCCTTTCAGAGTTAATCTGCCCCCCCAACAGCCACTATGAGCTCTGTGGACCTTCCTGCCCGGCCTCTTGTGCCCACCCAGCTGTGCCCTCCCGCTGCCGGACTGCATGCCAAGAAGGGTGCCAGTGTGACCCTGGCTTTGTGCTGAGTGGCACTGACTGCGTGCCTCGGGAGCAGTGCGGCTGCACCCACAATGGCAGATATCACCTGGCGGGGGAAAGCTTCTGGGAAGGAGAAAATTGCCAGAGATTGTGCAGGTGCAATGGCTCCTCCCACGCTGTCCAGTGCTCCAGCGCTGCCTGTGCTCCCGGGGAATCCTGTGGCACTCGCCGGGGGGTTTATGGCTGCCACGAGAGAACCAACGGCATCTGCTGGGCGTCTGGGCTGCCCCACTACACTACGTTTGACGGCAAGCGCTACGACTTCCAGGGCACCTGCAGATATGTCTTTGCTGAACTGTGTGCGGCATCAAAGTCCTTGCCCTTCTTCAGAGTGGAAGTGAAGAATGAAAACCTGCCCCATGTCCCTGTGGCTGTGACGTCGGAGGTGTTTGTCCTTGTGAGCGGAGTTGAGATCCACCTGCAGAGGGGTCAGCATGGGACAGTCCAGGTAATTCCCTGGGGCTAGTGAACTCTGGGGCAGTGCATAAATTACTGATAGACACTGTTGCTGGCTCACTTATTCAACTTCCTCCCCAAATGTGGCATTGAACTCTCTTTAGGATTCATCCCCTGGATTAATCTCTTTGCTGCTATTTCTCTCTGCCAGGTTGATGGGGTCACTGAGACCCTCCCAGTGAGTGTCAAAGCAGGAGAAATCCTCATTTATCAGGCTGGGTTTCATACGGTTGTGCAAGCTGACTCTGGATTGAGTGTGAGCTACGACCTGGCCCACAGCCTCTTTGTCAGCCTGCCCCCAGAGTACCGAGGCCAGACCTGCGGCCTGTGTGGGAACTTCAATGGGGCCGCTCAGGACGACTTTGTGACCCATAACGGCTCCCTAGGGAAGGACGCCTTCCACTTTGCTGCAGACTGGAAGTCGGAGGCTGTCCCTGGCTGTGACGATGGCTGCCGCGATTCCTGCCCTGTGTGTGAAGATGAGGAGAGTCTGGTGCAGTCCAAGTCCCAGTGCTGGGTGATCCAGGATCCTGACGGGCCGTTCTCCTCCTGCCACTCCCAGGTTGAGCCAGGCCCCTATCTGTCTGATTGCATCTTTGACCTGTGTGTGTCAGGAGGGGCTGGCAGTGCCCTGTGCGAGTCCATTCAGACATACGCAGCCGCCTGCCAGAGAGCCAACATCACCATCTCCCCTTGGAGGAGCGAGGCTTTTTGTGGTAAGTGACCATGATTTCTCTGTAAAGGAACAAAAGTATTTTTGCAAGCACAGGCAAATGAATCGAACAGAAACACACGCACAAAATTACATGCACATAGTGTTCAGGTTGCAAAGCCAAGCTGGGCAGTGTTGGGAAAGGCCCATAGGAAGGTCACCCTTGCAACTGCCACTGAGCCTTGTGTTTTATGCTGAGACTGTATCTGAAGAGGCAGTTCCCAATCCAACCCTCATACAGTCAATACCGTATGTATGATTTCTTGATTTCAGCTTGCTTGCTAGTCATCCATCCGCATACACAGCAGTAGGCAGGGCTCTTCTCTTGTATTTCTTCTTCCCTTGGACTTGCACTCAGAGCTTCTAGTAGAGTCATGTACATGGAGCCTGGGATTGACTTCCTCTGATGACAGAGCACAGACTCACCATCCTGGGCAGTTTTGGCTCTTCCCAGCTTGCAGTTCTGAGTTTGTTTGACAATTGGGGGCTGGCTGCTCTCCCCTGTAGATTACATGGAGAGAAGCCTTGTAGCCTCTGCAGCCCGCTTTTAACGTGGACATTTCAAATGCACTAAGGGAGCTGGGGTTCCAATGCCACTGAAATGGAAGCCACTTGAAAATCAGTATCATAAAAAGCAAGGAGCCTGTTGCGACTCCAGTGCAGCCAGATTAAATGCAGTGGATTTGCTATTGTGAAATCTCTAGTTGCATGGTCAATCCCGTTTTGTCTGGATAATTCCTCTAGCCATGTGCATATACTGACCCAGGAACTTCTAATGGCCTCTTTCACAGCCCCTCAGTGCCCCACCCACAGTCACTATGAGCTGTGTGAGACTCACTTTCAGGACCTGTGTGCTGGATCCTGGCTGCAGAAGTATCACAGGCTCACATGCTCTGAAGGTTGTTTCTGCAATGATGGGTACCTGCGGAGTGGGGAGCAGTGTGTCCCGCCAGAGCAATGTGGCTGTGAGCACGACGGACACTACTATGGGGTGAGTTGAGAGTTCACACTGACTAGTATCAGGGGAATCTGGGTGCATTTGAACATATGGAAGAACCTAATTTCTTTATTTCAGAGAATAAAGAACCAGCTTTTCCACTAGTCCACACACTAGTCTGAGAAGTTTCTGTCAAACAATGTTTTCATCATCAAATAATTTCTTCAAACTGTTTTGATGTTTTCAGCTTAAAGTCACCTTTTGGCTAAATATCAAACAGTTGTGGTGTTCAGTTGTTGGCCAGAATCATTTGTTTCTCAGTTGCTGGAAACCAGAAAATATCTAGTGTTTTTTCTCATGAAAGCCTGAACAATTTTGTCAAAATTGGACTTTCCTCCAGAAAATTTCGTTGTTCTTAAAAAACCATTTTATGTTAAAAATGGCTTCAGATAGATTCATATCAGCCAGCTCTAATCTTAGTCCATGTCACTTTGAACACTTTCTTTCCTGTGTGCATATGGTCAGCTCCTGTTTGGGTAGCAAAGCAGAGCAAGAGTTAATAACGTGCTCCAGTACCTACCTGTCTGGCTTGGTTCTGGGATTTAGTGAAGAGGTTGTGCTGGTGATGATGCTGATGAGGAGGGTAATTTCATTTCTTCTCTCTCTCCATGCCAGATTGGAGACCATGTCTGGTTCTCTGGTTGTACCCAGAGATGTAGCTGCAACTCCCGAGACCATTTCCGGTGTTTCCGAGCTCAGTGCTACCCAGGCCAGCAGTGTGCTGTGAAGAACGGCAAGCGAGCCTGCCAGAGTCTCTTGACCACTTGTGTGGTAACAGGGGACCCTCACTACTTTACATTTGATGGGACTGTGGCTCATTTCCAAGGCATATGTGACTACGAAATCTCCCGCACCTGCAACTCCTCCTTGGACTTGTCTTTTCGTGTGGTGGCAGCAAACAGGCATTTCCGCAATCCCCGAGTGTCTTTTGTTTACCGAGTGGAAATTTGGCTTAGCACTGGCAATTTTAATTCTCACATTGTCCTAGAGAGAGGCAAAGCTGTCCATGTGAGTTGACCTGTATACTAACAATCAATAATGTCCCTAGTGATTTCACCAAGGGTGTTTTAGAGGCAGAAGGATTTGTCTGAGGCTCAAACACACAGGGAGACTTTTCTCCTAGTTTTTCTGTTTCCAATTATTTCAGGAATCAGGCAAAAATTGTTTCTTGTTGTTGTGTGTGATTTTGCCTCTGGTTCCATCAGTATTTTCAAAAGTAGTGACTCAGGATGGTTGGGTAGTCCTCCTGAGGCACCAGAAGGAGCCTCATTATCAACATTTTCTAAAGGCCAGGCCATTGTGGAGTGTCTCACACTGAACCCCAAAATAGTGGAATTCTAAATGTTTGGTGACTACAAAATCTCTCTGGTTGCAATAAGGAACAGAGAGTCCAATACCATTCTCAGTTACCCAGTTACAGTCAATGCAGTTACATGAGTGTAAAATCAGTCCACCTCAGAGCTCCTTGAGGCCCAGGGAAGGCAGGGCTAGGGCTGGTGTAGTGACGGGCCATTTTGTGGCACACATACTGTGTTATTTTGCTTTCCCTAGCAGTGTCAGTTACAGGGCTCTGAATGTGGAGGGAGTTCTCCAAAGATGCCAGCACCGAAATCTCTCAAGCAGAATTTCATACACTATCTCTGTGTATTGGACAAAGACTGTAAACCCCTGCATGCTTGGTTAATGGAACAGCAGGTACCTGCTTAGAGAAGGCAAAGTGAGGGGGGGAACTAATTTTGCCTTTTTGTCTCAGGTTAATGGGCTGCGGACTCGCTTACCAGCACATCTGGGATCTGTTGCTAAGGTCCTGAGACTGAAGAACATGCTAACAGTGAGAGCACAGGCCAATGTGGAGATTCAATTTAATGGTGCCAGTAGTTTGTTTGTCCGTGTGGGCCCGGAGTATCAGAAGCAGCTATGCGGGATGTGTGGGAATTTCAATGGCAATCCCATGGATGATAAGGTCCTGCCCAGCGGGGAGAGAGCCCAGAATGACACACAGTTTGGGAACAAGTGGATTTCCGACACCAGCCCTCCTGGGTATGTTTGTTTATCCCTGGCCACCTTTTCCTACAGAGAGGGAAAATACAAGCATCCTGGCAGAAGCGAGGTTCCTGAAGAGGCTGGAAAATCCAGTTCAGCAAGCTAGGCTTTGGAATTCAGGGCCGCAAGATCTTATCACACTGACCCTATGCAGTATTAATTCATTTCTTTCTCAGGAGCAGATTTCTAGGCTAGCAGGGACCAGCCTAGGTGACACCATCTACAGATACATAGTTTTTCAAATGTCACCCACTGATTCCTGCTTTGATATCCATGCTGGGAGATGGGACTCAACCCCCCAAGTCCAGTGCAGGTTTCTGGGCTGCTTTGTGCATCCGGCAGACAAGGGAAGGACATGTATACATTAGCATTGTGCAGCATGGTTATTAGAGTAGTGTGTAAGCCCAACCAAGAATGGGGCCTCACTGTACTAAGTGCTGCACAAACTGAAAGAGCTAATAGTCTAACTCAGTGGTCCTCAAACTTTACCCCTCTGCCTGAGAGCCATAGTCAGGAACCAGAGCTGGGGCGAGGGACAGATGTGAACAGCAGTAAGTGGATCAGGAACCATGGTCTTAGGCTGGAGTTGGGGCTGGGGCTAGAAGTCAGGAGCTGAATTACAGCTGAGAGCCCAGAGGTGGGGCCCCAGCACAGCTGGGGGCAGCATTGGGCTAGGTGGTATTCCCTCCCAGTCCCCCATTGCAGCTGGACTGGGTCTCACTGCATCCCCCTGATCATTCCTCCATACACCCTTAGCGTGGGGACCACTGGTCTAACTAGAGAAGATGGAGACAGGGCAGAGGAAAAAGGTCAAACACACAAACAGAGAGGAAAGTGTTAGTTCTATAATTCCCTGGGAGTGCAGAGGTGTGTTTAGTTACTTGGGGGTTAGCTAAAATTGAAAGGAAGAGAGTCAGAAAGACAGGGCAGGGGAGGAGAGGAGAGGGGACTGGAGGGGAGGAAAGCAGAGAAACAGAGAGAAGTTCTCACTGAATATGTGACTGCCAAATACATCAACATGCTAGTTCAGGGACTGGCCTGTGCTGCCTGGGCATCCTAATTCCTTAGTGAGATGAGAGGGAAATCTTTGTAATCATTATTCACGTGACTCTTCCAGGTGTACTAACGATACCAGCAACCTCGTGCCTTGTCCAAAATTACACATATACCAGCAACTGTGTGGAGTCCTAGTGAACCACACGGGACCTTTCTCTGAGTGTCACTGGCACGAGAGCCCAGATCCTTACTACGAGTCCTGTATCTATGACCTTTGTCAGTATGGCCTGGGCAATCGCATGCTGTGCACAGCAATCGAGTCGTACGATGAAATGTGCACCATTGTCGGTGTGAAACTGGTGAACTGGAGACCGATGATGGGATGCAGTAAGTGAATACATCTTTGCTTGTATTGAAAATGGCTATTCTCTGTCAATGAGGCCGGGCCTACATTAGGAGAGAAAATCAACCTAAGATATGCAAGTCCAGCTACATGAATAGTGTAGCTAGAGTTGATGTAACTAACATAGGTCAAATTTCCATGGTGTCCCCACTATGGGAGGTTGACGGGAGAGTTTCTCCCATTGCCTTCCCTAACTCCTCACAACCCAATGGAGTACTGGAGTCGAAGATGGCACCATCAGTAGTCGATTTAATGTGTCCTTACTAGGTGCGCCAAATGAAACTCCAGAAGATTGATCTACACAACATCGATCTCCCGCTAAGTGGAGACAAGCCCTGAAACTCCAGCTCTATGGAACTCTCAAAAAAGAGGACACCTGGTGCTGGTCGGTGCTGTGGCAGTGGTAGCTGCTCCTCTCGCACAGGTGGCCAGTCTCAGGAGCCAGCAAACTTGTCCCCATGCATGCCAGGCTTGGGGCTCTGGCTGCCGCCTTGTGCTGCTGGGGCTGCCGCTGCTCCGCTGGCTCTCATGGTGTGAGGGGATGCTGCATGCTGGGCTCCCGCTTCTGCGCCATACCACCCTGAGATACGCAGCAGTGTGGACTCCAGCAGCGCCACCAACCAGCCGGCAGCCTGGGCTGCTGCGGGACCAGGAGGAGAGAGTGGGGGACCAGAGAGGCTGCTGGCTGGGGCATGAAGTTAAAGGCACCGAGGGGAGAAGTGGCATGGCTATAGAAGGAACCCAGGCATCATGCTTCCCGGAATCCCTTCCTTTCCCCTGCCCACCCCACCAACCACCAGCTCCCACAGTCCTCCCACAGCTGAGACTGGGACCCCCAAATCTCACCCACAGACCCACTGCCCGCCTGCAGGGAAGGAAAGAAGCCAGAAGTTCTAATTCCCAGTTCCCAGTTCTAACCCAGTTCCACTGCCCTCCCCCAGAACCAGCCCCCCTCCCAATCCTGCTGCTCTGACCCAGTGCACCCACCCCTCCCCTCGCCCCG